GAAACACTCTCACACACACTACTGAAACGTTCTCACACAAACTACTGAAATGCTCACACACACTGGTGAAATGCATTCACACACACTACTGAGACACTCTCACACAAACTACTGAAACGCTTTCACACAAACACACTATTGAAACGCTCTCATACAAGCACACTAATAAAAAGCTCTCATGTAAACCAATGTGTGAGAGTGTTTCACTGGTGTGTGTGAGAGTGTTTCAGTAGTGTGTGGAAAGCGTTTCAGTAGTTTATGGGAGAGCGTTTCAGTTGTGTGTGTTAATGGTTCTCACTACTTTGTATAAGAGCTTTTCAGTGGGTTCTTTAAGAGGTAAATATTTTCACCAGTGTCTGTGAAGTGTCCTGTTTGTGGAAGGGTTTAATTTCATGTGTGCATATGGAATCCTGATTCACGTCCCTGGTGACTTTTCATGCAGTTATGCCTCCTCTTTCACACACAAAGTGCGACAGCCCGAGCTGAACGGACAAAGTAAGTCATGAGGGAGGCTGTCGCACCTCCTCCCACCTCAGCCGGCTCATGGGAGTGTGAACGCCACCTGAATTACTGCTCCACAGCTCAGGACAAATGAGGAGAACTCCGGCTCGTGCGTCTCCTTCCTGTCAAATCGGGTGTTTTTCAGCTCTTAACTGGTCCTCTGTGATGGAAATGTGAGCTTTTGCCGCTGCCTCATCCCATCTGGCTCCAAATAAATAAAACAAAACTGCTGGATTTTCTCTGGATTTGCTGTTGGAGGCGGCAGCCGCCCTGCAGATTCTGTAATTCTGCTGCGAAGCCAAAGCTGGAGAAAGGAGGAAGAGGAACACCTGAATACGGAACAGGGAGATGAATGTTTCCAGGAAGTGTCCCTTCCAATCTGTAAAAGTGGCTTCTTATCCTTTCTTTCTTCAAGATATATAGTATTAGTGGACCTAATACTATAAAAACCAGACTTTGTCCTGGTACAGGTAGTTTTTCTTCATATAGGCTCTGTAGGTTTGGCTTTAGATTTAAAATGTCTGTTTTTTATAGATTTTATAGATTTTATAGATTTAATTAAATGTTTTTGCAATTTGGTTCTGAGGGTCCAAATGACTTATTTACAACCTTTTGATTCCACAATAAGGACATGATTTGTGTCAAATGTCTAAAAGCATTTTCCGTTAGATTTCATACAGTAGTGTCTGATAGAGTCTGCTATGAGGCCAAGAGGTCAAAGGTCAGAAAAAAAAAGAAGGATCCTGGTAGAGAGAGGCAGAAATGCAGCGTCCTCACATGAGAACAGGCTCTCAGGAGGCTAAAGTAGACCGACTGGAGGAAAATCCCCAGAAAATGTTCAACCAAGCCAAGATAAGCTAAGCTAAAATTAGCTAAGCTAAGATAAGTTAGGCTTAAACAAGCTAAACTAAACTAAGCTACAGTAAGCTAAGATAAGAGTTCCTTACAACACAGACCCAGCAGCGTATCAGGGCTGGTTAGATTTTCCTTTAGATTTCAAACAGTAGTGTCTGATAGTGTCTGCTATGAGACCAAAAGGTCAAAGGTCAAAGAATAAAGAAGGATCCTGGTATAGAGAAGCAGAAATGCAGCATCCTCACATCAGAACAGGCTCTCAGGAGGTGAACTCATGAGTTACATCTCATGAGTTACCCAAAGCTCAGGATCTATCGGTGGGGTCTGCTGCCTCTGATTGGCTGGCCGTCACGCTCGGCCGGCCAATCGACAGCCTCTCGGCACGTTTCGGCATCGGCTCCATTAGATGGAGGCTGGATGGGAACACGGGGCCACCAGCGCGACCCCTCGACATTTCCAGATATCGAGCCGCCGGTGAGTCATCGCAGGGAGGATTTAGGCGGCTTCAGGGAGTCTGCGTGGCTCCAGAACCGGTAGATGAACCATCGGGCGCTTTATTAACAGCTTTATTAAACAGATTCTGCTTTGAGGAGCCAGTAAATCGAAGCCAAAGTTCAGAGGTGGGTGACCCCACACACCACTTTTTCCCTTTGAGCGTGTTTATTTTTACAGTATGGAAACACTTTAGCTCTAATTGTAGACGCACGTTTTGTTAACTTTTGATTTAGTGTGTGTGGTGGAAATCGTCTGAAATAGATTCATTTACATTCAGTAGCACTATCAGCCCCCCCTCCCTCAGTATTCATGTACAATTCATGCTACAAATGACCCAAAAGCTCTTTTCCTGAAGTTTTATCAACCCGCTCTTGTGGCTTTTCCTCCTCAGATCTCCCCGTTTTCCTGCCCTTTTCTTTTCACCTGTTCATTCATTGCTGCCTTTTGTCGTCTCCTTGTTCTCCTCACCCCCCCACCCCCCACCCCACCCTTTGGGGAGCTGCTCTCTTATCTATTTTTATCGAGCGGCCTGGAAAGTAAGCAGACGAGGCAGATACTCCCCTCCTGTGCAGCCTCCTCTCACTCCTCTGACCAGCAGGGTCGAGTCCAGGGTTTCTGTCCTGGGCGGTCCAGGTCGGGGCTCAGGCCAATGAGGGGGGCCACAATGAAATGTATATGTTTCTAAATGCCCAGTGGCTTCTTCTTCCTCCTCTTCGTTTTATTTATTTATTTATTTTGATTGATATTTTTGCCAGACAGATACAGAGAAGCACACATTATCTCGTTCCAGTCACAGGAATCAGAAAAGCCTCTTGTATGCACCTATCAGCAACTTCCATAAAAACAAGGCAAAAATAGTAATATTGATATTAAGAGTAATTGTGACGGCTCCAGGCTTTAGTCCTGTGTGGGGCAGGATGCTGTGGGTTGTCTTTTTTTCGTTCCAGGAAAGAAGTAGCCTGTTATTTAAGTTGACCGGGAGCACCTGGCCAGTGTTCCCGGTCGGGCCCGTTTAACACCACATTTTTTCATCTGGCGGACGCTCGGGGCTGACTCTGCCCTGATCCACTCTATGTTGACTTCGCCGTCTCCTCTTTTGTTATTTATTTTAATAAATTATTAATTTGGTTGACCACAAACTTGTGCTGCACCTTCTCCCTTTGTTTCAGCCTGGAGGCAGTTATAACAAATATAAAAATAGAATTAAAAAAGCAGTCCAGCAAAAATGTAAATAACAAGCCAGATCTATAAGATATACCATAGATCACAAGACACAACGAAAACACCCTAGAAAGTCTATCTATCATAGTAATTCTGTTCCCGTATCTAATACGACATAAGTAGAAAGGGACATACTTACATGTCCAGCAATTGAGCTAGGAATGGGCCCAAAACCTCAGTGAATATATCTTTCTTCCCAGCCACCCTGTGGGTGACCCGCCCGTAGCTGGCCTTTGAACTTAAAACCTGTATCCACTCCTTAAACGTGGGCCAAGTGGGAGATTTCCAGTGGCATAAAGTTATCCTGAACCCTGTCATAGCTAAACAACACCAAGATTTCTGGTGTTTTAGAATTTTAATGTTATCTGGAAATGATCCCAACAGACATAATGCAGGGTTTTTTTTACCAAATGTGTGCCCAACACCTTATTCACAAAAAAAATGATCACATTCCACATGTTTTTAGTTTTGTCACACTCATTTAACGTATGCACCAGAGTTCCAACCTTTTCATTACATCTCCAACATAAGTCACAGTTTCTGAGTTTTAGTCTTGCCAGTTTGGAAGAAGTCCAATAGTTCCTCTTCTTCTTCTTCTTTTTCTTCTTCTCTGGTTGAGTGCAGACCTGCTTCTGCCTGCTGCCTCTTTGTCCCGTTGCATCTGGGAGCCTTTCTCTGCATTTTCCCCCTAAATCCTAAAACCTAAACCCTGGATTTGTCGGGCTGGTCCCTAAACTCCACTGAGCAGATCTCTTCCATCGAAAGAAAATCAGCAGGGGCTGCATCTGGTCCATCTGGAACCCTGGACAGCCCCCAGTCCATCACAGGGCTACACAGAGACACACAAGGACCAACAGCCACACACACTCACACTAAGGGCAGTTTGGAGTGTCCAACCAAGCCTAACATGCAGGTTTTTGTATGGAGAGAACCCACAGACAACGGGAGAACATGCTGACTCCACCCAGAAAGGTCCTGGTCCCCCCGGGGACTCCAACCCAGAACCCTCTGGGACTTGAACCCAACGCCTCACAGGCTGTGTTTTACTTCCCTTGATTAATTCATCTGCCAGGCTTTTTGTGTTTTTTTCTGCTCTGTATGTGTTTGCACTGCAGCTGCAACATGTTAATTTCTCATCGTGGGATCAATAAAGTAATCTAATCTAATCTAATGGATATAATTTAGTGGTTAAATGCACAATACCCAGTAATTTCAAAGTTAACCAACAAACAACCTCATATGAACTAGAAATACTATGTTAATTTCTTGAAACCATTCAGTTTTTTAATGGAAGCAAATGTTTGTCATCTTATTTTAATTACGTGAAACTGATCCGAAGACAATCATGTTCCTATCTACACTATTGTTTTCTATCCTGTTCTGTGTGCAGGGCAATCTGAGGAAGTTCATGGACCTCGTTCAGCACAACCAGGTGGACAAAGTGGCCAAGCTGCTGGAGAGGGGCTTCGATCCCAACTACCACGACGGGGACACCGGCGGTAAGGCCGCACACAGCCGGGCTGCCGGGGATCTGGAGACGCCTTTCTGAGCCGTCAGGATAAACGAACACAGTCTGTGAGCGGACAAACGTCCAGGCGCTTCATCACAGACATCAAAACAGGACTTTAGCGATTCTGAACCACTTTACTGAGAGGTTGCATTCAGAAAATACACAGTCGGAGGCAAACAAAGTCAATTGGCTCAAATCTCTGAGAATGTTTTGCGTTTTTTTGGGCTGAAATTGAACAAAAGCTAGCGGTTTATTTAGGATAAACTCTCCAGAAGCAGAAGCCAGCTCCTGCCTGTTATTGCGATAATTGTACAGTAAAAAAACGTATTTAACATTACAAGCTGCTGAATTCACAATAGTTATTAAATGTCCTCGAGAAGAAGAATTAAACACAAATGAAAACAGAAATATGTAGGATTTTTGTTTTTAAAAAGTACAATTCAGAAGGAAAAACATTAATTTTGTCTTTGGCTGTTTTCGGCTGGTGGATGTGACCTTTTTAACTTCAACTTTAAAGGTTTCCGCTCCCTGACATGTTGAATAATTAACCCCCATATGATTCATTTGTTTTATTTATGTGTCCACATACACATTTGATGAATTTAAAAGGATCTTTTTCATGCTTTTTTAAAAAGCATCAGCAATTTAAGTAAAATATTAAGTCATTTTTTAAGTGGTTCTGAATGATTTTGAATCATTTATCAGTATAAAAACAAAAAAGAGTTTTGTCAGTGCTGCAAAACGGGATAATTATATATATTTATTATTTTTTTGGATCAGCTGATCTATTTAACCTTTCAAAACTTTCTTTACACAATCATTTACTTCCTGTATCCTGATACAGGAGCAATCCCAACAATAGCTCCATCTTTTCCATATTTTCTTCCATCTTTGTGTTTACTTTGGGCTGCTGGGATTAAATATCTCACCTTGTTCCTCACCCAGATTGAGAGCGTGGCTCCAGGCAAACACCAGCAGAGGGTCTTGTGTTTGACTTTCTGCTTGCTGAGTTGAGATCAGCTCTGATTTTTGCCTGATCTCTGCGTGCGGAAACTGCTCCGAGAACCCTTTAAAACTGAGTGAAGGACGCGCCGTCAAACTGGGACACATCTGTTGTTTTCCTGACCTTCTTCTGAAGTATTCTGAAAGGTTTTAATCACCTTAAAGTACTTTTTTTCTCCTCCAAACTCTCTAATTGGCTCAGGCAGACGTCTGACCCGCTTTAATCGGCTTAAAAATAAGGAGCAACCTGAACAAAAACTGAGCTCTGGCCATCTAAATCCTTCAGAAAAACCAAGAATCCTGTTTGAAATGTTCACTTTTTGTGCTCTCTCTGATTTCCTGAGTCAGCCAGCGGGTCAGCGTGGGGATATTTTTAGAAAAGGCTGCATTTCATCGTGGATTTCAGCTCATTTCGCAGCTCACTCTGTCAGAAAAGACGATTCTGAGGCCTCTGAGAGCCACAGAATGAGCCAAAAAAAAGCATTCAAACTTATTCCACCCGAGTCGGACCGACTTGGATGAAGATAAAATTCATTATTGTGTCTTAACTGAGGCATGAAGAATGCTTAAAAGTCAATTTTCCCTGAATGAACCCCTCAAACGGGCATCTGTGTGTCTCCACTAAACTGTTTCTGAGAGATTTCTGGCAAAACCTGAGCGTCTAAGTCAGGTGTCTCTTTTTTTCTGCAAGCTTTCCAACACCCGATGTCTTTTTTTTGTTTGGTTTTTCACACTAAATTAGACCAGAATAGCTTCTTTTCAGGCTTTTTGGTCCCTTTTAGAGCTCGTTCTTCTCGCCTCATCTCTGCTGTATGAAGGCTTCAAATATGATGAGAAATAACAACATGTCATCAAATGAGCCTGAAAATGTATTTATTTTTATTACCTAGAGCAAAACATTATCATTTAACACAGACAAGGCCTGAAACTGTGGATTATGGTCATGGATCAATAAAAAACATTTCATTCTGACCAGACAACGATAAATACTTCGTTTATTTCTAATTAGAATAAAGATAATCAATAGAAAAATATATTTTAAAAACACTCACAACTGAAATAATCAGCGAATCAGTTAATCAGCTGCTTTGTGTTTTCCTAGATCAAAGGCTGATTGGATACAGTTTATTATCATGATAATTAAAAATTAAAGTATTATTTCTTTAAATGGAAGAGCGAGGAAAAGAAAAATCACATGAAATGAAACACGAAAACTCTCCTGGACGGGTTTTATTCCATTCAGATGAATGAATATATGAAAAATAAGTCATTTACTGATTAAAAACGCGTCAAATAAATCAGAATAATGGTTTATTATGGTCATTAATTAAATAAAGACACTCAATTATGACAATACAATGGTTATTTCTAATAAGAATAAAAATATTCAAAAGAAAAATATATGTAAAAACACTGAAAACAATTTAAAACGATCCAGATAATCTAATGCATGGGGATTCCTCTCGGGGTCAGACACCTGGCAGGACTTGGTTCCGAAAACATGAGGAATGAAGAGCCCATTTAACAAAGTGTGCGCAGTATTTTCTGGGGTTAAAACCTCCTCTTGCCACCGGCTGCGTCTGCTGGCAGAAATGAGACGGCTAATTGCTCCGGACCCGGATATTATTCACGCTAAAAAGACAGAAAAAAAGGGAGAGAAACTGGTCGTTTACAACTAATCACGCCAAAAAGCGAGTAAAAAATAAGCAGCTTTTATAGCGTCAGGATCCTTTACAGGAGGCAAGACCACGTAAAGTGCTTTAAAGAGTTTAAAAGCAGAAAAAAAGGTAGGAATAATTTCAACAAAATTAAAGAGTGTATGTAAAATACAATCAGATTTAATATCAAAATCATTTTTAATGACTTTGAGGCCTGTCTCACATCTTCTGGACGACTGATCAAGATTTTAGGAGCATAAACCTGAACTGAAACCTCTCCTGGTTTGATTGGAATAACTGTCTTCCTCTTTGTGGACTAAGTTTTATCTCAAAGAGCCACACACTGGTCGTGAGAAGCAGTTGCAAAGAGCAGAATGCACCCAAAGAGAGCCTCCAAAGCCGATCAGAGCTGGTCTGAGTCGATGCTGCTGCCTCCTCCTGCAGCCTGAACCTTTGGAAAAAGACCCAAAGGCAACTTAACAGTGGAAAAAGATCCAAAAGGCGACTAAAGATGAATTTCTGCCTCCTCCAGCAGCCTGAACCTTTGGAAAAAAGAGCCAAAAGGTGACTAAACAGTGGAAAAAAGAGCCAAAAGGCCACTAAACATGAGTTTCTGTTGGATTTGTGCCTCTCAGCTGCAGGTGGGAGGTCCAGTTTCCCGGCCCGGTTTAACTGTGGACGTTTCGATAAACCAGAGAGCTCCTGAAAGGGGGGCAGACGGTCCTGGAGTTTTCTCTTCTGTGTTTCATTATTTATTATGGGTCAGAGAATCAGACATGCAGCTTCCCAACCGCCGCCATCCATCTCCATTTTTTTTTACCACATCGGTCCAGGTCTCAGGTGTCTGCAGAACCAGGAACCAGGACCACATCAGTCCAGTTCAGAACCAGGAACCAGGACCACATCAGTCCAGTTCAGAATCAGGAACCAGGACCACATCGGTCCAGTTCAGAACTAGAAACCAGGACCACATCAGGCCAGTTCAGAACCAGGAACCAGGAACCAAGACCGCATCAGTCCAGTTCAGAATCAGAAACCAGGACCACACCAGTCCAGTTCAGAACCAGGAAACAGGACCACATCAGTCCAGTTCTCAGGTCTCTGCACAACGAGGAACCAGGACCACATCAGTCCAGTTCAGAACCAGGAAATAGGACCACATCGGTCCAGTTCAGAACCTGGAACCAAGACCACATCAGTCCAGTTCTCAGGTCTCTGGCTTCCTGTCTCTCAGAGACTGTAAAGCAGCTCTGCTTGTGTTCTGGTCTCTTGATGGTCTAAAGTCCATCTATGGACCAGCTGGACTCTGATAACCAGGTTCTGGTCTCCTGCTGACCAGAACATAACCAGAACCAAACCAGGAGAGGCTTCATTTTAGTTTCCTGCTCCTAAAATCTGGATCAGTCTTCCTGAAGAGGAGAGACAGAACTCAGCTCTGGAGGTTTAAATCCAGATGAAAACATCTGTTTAGCCGAATGGATTTTATCTGCTCCCTTCACTTTTTATCTTGCTATTTTATTAAGTTGATTATTTTCTTTCTTTGTTTTTCTGCTTTGAAATTCTTTGTGAAGCCCTTTGAATGCTCCGGTACAGGAAATGTTCTGTGGAATAAACCGGCCTTTTGCTTCCAGAGAGCCCGCTGACCTTCGCCGCCCACCTGGACAACGTGGTGGAGATCATAAAGCTGCTGAAAAACGGGGGGGCTCACCTGGACTTCAGGGCCAAAGACGGCATGACGGCGCTCCACAAGGCCGCCAGGTCCAAGAACCAGGTGGCTCTGATGGTAAAGTTGATTTATTTATTCATTGTTCTTTAAATGGAAGATTGAGGAAAAAAACAATCACATTAAATAAAACATAAAAACTCTTCTGGTGAATGAAGGAAGGGTTTTATTTAATTTGGCTTAATAAATACTTAAGAAATAAGTCATTTATTGATTAAAAACTCAAGTAAATCAGAATAAAGGTGGATTATAATCAGTGAGTCAATTAATCAGCTGCTTTGTGTTTTCCTGGAACAAAGGCTGATTGGATACAGTTCATTATCATCATAATTGAAAATTAAAGTATTATTTGTTATTTAAAAGGAAGATCGAGGAAATGAAAAATCACATGAAATGAAACGTGAAAACTCTCCAGGACGGGTTTTTATTCCATTCGGCTAAATGAATATATGGAAAAATAAGCCATTTACTGATGAAAAACTCATCAAGTAAATCAGAATAAAGGTTGATTATGGTCATGAATCAAAGAAAAACATTTAATTATGACAATACTATGGTTATTTCTGATGAGAATAAAAATATTAAATAGAAAAAAAGTGAAAAATGATCCACACACAGAGTAAATAGCGTGCTGCTGCTGACCCCGCCCCCTGCTCTGGCCCCGCCCCCTGCTGTGGCCCCGCCCCCAGACGCTGCTGGAGCTGGGCGCCTCTCCGGACTACAAGGACAGCCGCGGCCTGACGCCGCTGTACCACAGCGTGGTGGTGGGGGGCGACCCGGGCTGCTGCGAGCTGCTGCTGAACCACCACGCCACCGTCGGCTGCCAGGACGAGAACGGCTGGCACGAAGTGCACCAGGTAGGGCCCCGCTCATCCACTGAGCCCCGCCCACCCACAGAGCTCCACCCATCCACCGATCCCCGCCCGCTCCGTAAGCCCCGCCCACCCACAGAGCTCCACACATCCACCGAGTCCCGCCCGCCCTTTAAGCCCCGCCCGCCCACCCATCGAGCCCCGCCCGCTCAGTAAACTCCGCCTGCTCAACAATTCCAGCCCGTTTAGTAAGCCCCACCCACCCCGGAAGTTCTGCCCGCTCAGTAAGCCCCGCCTGCTCAGTAAGCCATGCCCGCTCGTTAAGCCCCGCCCACTAATTAGGACTAAGCCTCCTACAGTGCCCCGCCCATCATTATGCCCCGCCCGCTCAGGAAGCTTTGCCTGCTTAATTAGCCCCGCCCGCTTAATAATCCCCGCCCACTCAGTAAGCTCTGCCCACTCTGTAAGCCCTGCCCACTCAATAAGCCCTGCCCACTTAATAAGCCCCGCCCATTCTGTAAGTTCGGCCCGCTTGGTAACCCCTGCTCATTTAATAAGCCCCGCCCGCCTAATAAGCCCCGCCCGCGCAGTAAGCCCGTCCACCCACCAAGATCTAACCCTAACCCAGTCCCAGAGGAAGAAGCTAAAGCTCCCACAGTGCCACATAAACTTATAAAGTCCCGCCCACCCACCGCCCCCTGCTCACCCTGGGTTTGTCCGGTCTGATTGGCTGTCCGCTCTGATTGGCTGTGCCTCTCCGCCCCTGCAGGCCTGTCGTCATGGCCACGTGCAGCATCTGGAGCATCTGCTGTTCTACGGCGCCGACATGAGCGCCCAGAACGCCTCCGGGAACGCCGCCCTGCACATCTGTGCCCTGTACAACCAGGGGAGGGGGGGGGGGGGGGACCAATCACAGAGTGGAAGCTCAAAACTGCCTCTGTATCGACCAATCACAGAGCGGCACCTGGAACCGATGGTGCAGCAACCAATCACAGAGCAGCCCCAAAGTGCCTCTGTATCAACCAATCACAGAACAGCTCAAACTGTGTCTGTATTGACCAATCACAGAGCAGCAGCTCAAACTGTCTCTGTATTGACCAATCGCAGAGCGGTACCTGGAACAGATGGTATATCGACCAATCACAGAGCAGCAGATCAAAACTGCCTCTGCATCGACCAATCACAGAGTGGCAGCTCCGGCTGGCTGAACGGAGGCCTGTACAGATTTGATTATACCAAATGTGATGGCTCCCCCCTGTTTTCGGTCCCAGGCGTCCAGCAGAGGGGAAAGTGGGTCCGACCCTTCAGGGCCGGATCCAGTTCTGGACCAGCTGAAGTCCGTGTTTTGGCATTTAACCAAAACGCTGCGGCCACATTCCGGGAAATAACCTTTGTGAGCTCACTGGGGGGGACGTTCCACATTTAAAGAGGAAAACCAGGATGGTTTGATTCTGACCAGCCGGTTCAAAATGGGACGTGACCTTTGACCCCCTGACTTCCTGCTTTCCTTGAGCTGGATCCGGTTTTCCACCTCGTCAAAGACCGGACTGAGAACCTCTCTGGGATTCCCCCCTCCATTCTGCAATGTTTGCCTAAAACCTGCAGTGAAACCTCAGCCTCTTTTCCCTGGAGACAAATTATGATTATTTTCCAGCCACACAGCAGAGACACAGCCGCCTCCTGGTCATTAGTTTTTAATTAAAGGGCTTAAGTCACTGCAGCATCATTTTAACTGTTTCCCCCCGTAAAGCAGCAATGTTTAACGATATGATGTGTTTAAAGCCCTCATGGGACCAACCTGCTTCTGTTAGATTGAGGCTACATGTGTTTATTTACAGGAAAACATGATGGAAATGGAGATTTTTGTTGTTTGAATTCAAATGGTCCAGACGCAGTTCCATGAACCAGTACGAACCGGTCTGAACCAGTCTGAACCAGCCTGAAACAACCTGAACCAGTCTGAGCCAGCCCAAACCAGTGTGAACCAGTCTGAACCATCCCAAAGCAGCCTGAACTAGTCTGAACTAGTCTGAACCAGCCTGAACCAGTCCGAACCAGTCCGAACCAGCCTGAAACTCCCTGAACCACGCTGAACCAGTCTGGACCAGTCTGAACTAGTCTCAACCAGCCTGAACCAGTCCGAACCAGACGGAACCAGCCTGAAACTCCCTGAACCACGCTGAACCA